ACACACACACACACACACACACACACACACACACACACACTGGGCTCTTTTCCTAGTATTCCAGGCTCTGTTGTCGACCAGCTGTGTAACACTGGGCAAACCCTTCACCCCCATGTACCTCAGTTTCCTCATCAAATAAAAGCATTGAACAGGATCAATGGTTTCTGAACTGTCCCATGGAGTGCTAGGATTCCAAGAAGTTTTAGTGGCATGGGTAGAGTGGGGTGGGGGGAGAAGGGATGGGGGTGAGCCACGGGGTGTGATTAGAGAGTGTGGTGGGGGTGAGGAGCTCTAGATCCAAAGCCACCTATTTAACGGAATATCTCCTCTCTCTTATAGAAATCCTTGTAACATTACATTTCTAAAAACACCAAAAGCGAGCAAAAAAACGCAACTCGTTTGATAACCCCCGGGGTGATACAGATGACCTCTACAACCCCTTGGAAGCCTCACCCTCGAGTGACCACACTTATAGAAACTGGATTTTCCAAGGGATCTGCTAATACAGTGGACGTGGGTCTCACTTTTAGGACCCCATCGAGGGCCTCTGTTTATTTGATTCACTGTTGCACAAGTGCTGGAACAACTGGAAGAACGATTGTCATGCTGAATCAGTGCCAAGACTCTCAAAAATGGGGACGATTCACTGAAAGGTCACTGGGTGTTCTTACTCTTGCGTGGCACCTTTTTCCAAGACCCAGGAAGTTTTCCAAAACTCCTGCGTGCCAGTGCGAACAGGGCCCTTGCCTGTGAGTAGAAAGACACGGGCTCCACCACTGCGTGTTGTCAGGCTTTGGGTACCTTGAGTTATTGTCCTGGGCTCCATTTGTCTGTGGAATGGGAACGCTGCATGCAGGAAACCAACCTTGAGGGCCCTTTCAGCTCTAACAGTCCAGGATTTCAGAATCCTAAACCTTGGAGCCTGTTATCTGAACGATTCCCTGATCAACAGCATGTGCTCTCAGCCTCTCTCTGTCACAGACCAATGTTCAGTATATTAAGGGCTTTGAAGGCTGCTGACTGGAAGGATTGGGCAATGTGTGCTTTAGCCAAACTCGGAGTCCTACAAATGGCTCATTCTGAGCAGAAGGCTCAGGTCTAAATTACCAGCAGATCTTCAGACACACAACACTTTGTGGGGCGGTGTTCGGAGTAGAGAAACCGGGTGCCTAGGTGTAAACCCTTGCACCTCGTCTACAAATCCCCCTCAAGGTGGAAACAAGGAAAACCCAGCCAGAGCAGCCACGAAGTTGAGTCCAGGACGTCTCATACAGGTCTGAAATTTACGCACGCGCGGCTCTCCTCTGCCTGCTTTCTCCTCCCTCCTCCCACTCCCACAATTAAAAAAAAAATACATTTTTCCCCCTTTACCACAATTCTTTTGTTAAAAAAGAGAAAAAGACAGAAAGTTAAACCAAAGGGGTGACGACGTGAGCACTCACTGGGAGAGAGCGGCCAGGCTGCGTCTTCCCAACAATCCGGATCCCGCGAGCATGTCTGCAGCTGGAAGGGGCGGCGGGCGCTGGAGGTGCGGTCAGGGCGGGGGCCGAGCCCCCCGAGGTGCCATGTTCTCTGCGGCTGCAAGCCGCGCCTGCGGGATGCTCTTGGCCTCTCCCTTTGTGTTAACGCTTTGGTCTGTCCCTGTGACGAAAGTCTGGGCTTGTCCTCTGCCAAATCTACTCCTCCCTACCCTTCCCCTCCACATAGGATCATCAGAGAGCTGATTGTTATTTTTTACTGTAATCTCTCTAATAGAGGCCCCTTCCGTTTAGATGGTAAAGGACACCGATTGCGTGGAGAGTTCCAGCAGGTTGTTACCGGGTCGTAGGGGCCCGGATCCCCAGCAGCTTGCATGATGAAGACTTTTTATGATTAATTACCACATAATTCTTCCAAGGTAGAGAACTGGTCAAAGGAACAGACGCTGATCCACGTGCTCAGCCTTTTGGAAAAATAGTTTGATCGTGGTGGTATCACTTGTAGATGCAATTCATTTTTGAAGAGATCAACGGAAATCAGCCCACTGAAAAGTTTATCCGGGTGCAGTTCTCAGGCCCTCTTTCGGAGCTCTGTTCTCAATTAGCATTGGTGTAGGTGGCTTCCAAAGCAAACAGTTCCCACTGAGAAATCAAATCTGAGAAACTCCTCTTGTCCTCCCCTCCCCCGCCCCCTTTTTTTTTTTTACCCCAGGGAGAGATGCATGATATAAAAATGCAAAGCAATAGCAAAGGGAAGAAGAGAGACTGTCCAATCAGTGACAGCCTGGGTGATTGAGTGTTTGGTGCTCACGCCCCCCCCCCCCCATGAAATGAACGCCACAGCCTGCCAAAGAAAAAGCTACGGTTCTGCACCAGCAGCACCCTGGTGGTAATCTCATCAGCCAGGCAGGACAAGGGAGCCTGGTCAGCAACCATTTGGAAAGCAACCATATTCCAGCCCCCGAGGATGGAGGGGTGTTGACTCTATCTGGAGATGACACTCATCTCGGCCTGAGTTATGAATATGTTTCTTTATTTCTAGCTAGAAATGAACAGATTGGGGTTGGGGCCCCGAGCTGCTTATGGGACTGGCTTTCTATCAAATAACTCTGAACACCTCAGAGCTTCACAATGGAAGGTTAAGATGAATCTTTTGGTAAGTAGCAGGAGAAGCAATCAACTTCACACGTCGAGAGTCCCTTCAGAGAATGAAAAACATCTTGGAGAACTGCAGCTTCGTGTCACCAACAAGGACACAGAAGCAGAACATTTAAAAAATTGGCTCAATGTCATGGAGCAGAATTTCAGCAGCTCCAGTGTAAAGAAGCCTTGTTGGGTTAAATGCTCTCTTCACTCCAACTAACTAGGAAATTTTGGTTGTTTCCCTGCTTAAAAAAAGCTATGTTGTCATCAAAGCCATAATTTAGAGAGTAAATCTAGTTTAATGAATTTCAGAGTTAACTATTTCCATATATCATGATGTATATACATATTTACATGTCTTTTTCATTATATATATATATATATATATATATATATATATATAGTCACCCAACATATATTAACTATTTGAATGAAGTACATGAGACACTCATAAAAAGAGTGTGTCTACCTTAACAAAGAGGCCTTAATAACTGACTTGGCATGAGTTAATTGCTCGAGAGCTGAGATAGAAACATGCATTAAGGCATTTTGCTAGTCTCCTTCCTACCAAATTTTGCGCATTTAATTTTTTTCCCCTTCAAAAAATTCAGAGGCTCTCTGTAGCAGGCAGATTATGTTCCTCTCAAAGACCTTCATGTCCTAGTCCCCAGAATTTGTGCATAGGTTGCCTTACGTGGCAAAGGGGACTCTGAAGATGAGATTCAGTTAGAGGCATTGAGATGGAGAGATTATCCTGGGTTATTCAGATGTGCTCAAATCGACTCTTATGGGTCCTCAAAGTCAGAGAACCCTCTCCAGCTGTGGTCCGGTCCGAGGGAGACAAGACTATAGAACAATGGCCAGAGAGCTAAAATGTTGCTGGTCCTGAAGACACAGAAAGGGGCCCAGAGTCCAGGAATATGGCAGCCTCTAAAAGCTGGAAAGACAAGGAAATAGATTCTCTCCTCAAACCGCCAGAGAGAACCACAGCTCTGCCCACAGCTTGATTTTTACCTCATGTGTTAGACTTCTAACCTGTAGTATATAACAAGTTTGTGCTGTTTTAAGCCACCACGTTCGTGGCTATTTGTTACAGCAGCGATAGAAAATGAATACATTTGGTTATGGGACTCATTTGACCTTGGGAATACATTTTACTCCTGATTTCACCCTGATCTCCCCCACTCCAATTCGAAGGAGACAAACGTGGTTTGGGCATATTCAGAAGAAGCTCATATGATAAAGTAGCCTGGAAACAATTTCTGTGGTTCTTTCAGGACAGTTCGTTCTCTCTCTCTCTCTCTGCACATAACACACACATACACACGTGCACACACACACATACACACGCGCGCCCATGCACCTTACCATCCATAGAGGAGAGCAAGAATTTAGTAATCTTATGCTAATATGCTGGCATTCCTGTACTAAATGTATGCTATGCTAATAGCCAGCTGTATGAGCTATCCACCAAGCTATTTTCCTAGTTGTAAAGAGAAGGAGAGGGAAATTTTAGTTGGCCCCTTGTTATTAATGGAATACGTTTGGGAAGTAGTTGTCTGCCTTCAGTTGCTGATAGTAAAAGTCATGGGTGTCATCACTTACCCTACCTCGCAGGGTACTGATATGACAATAGGGAAGAGAACCGTGAGTTTGGGACCTGGTCAGACATCAGTGGGGAACAGAAAGAGCACAAAGGCCAACAAAAAGGAGAATGGATGCATTCAAGAGGCAGGAAGAGGAGTGAGTCAGGAGGGGAGAGCAGGCAGGGGTAGGCAACAGCTTCCAAAGAGCCCGCTGGGATGAGCTGGCTGGGGCTGCAGAGGCAAGGCGAGAGGAATTAGGAAAAACATACCGAAAGGGCATTTGCTAAGTGTTCTGTTTCTGCAGAGATTGACAGGCATATGTGCTTTTTCTGTGTAGCACAGACACGGGTCCTCAGAGTCCAACTTTGGAAACTAGTATCTCTGAGAACTGAGGTAACAGTCATTTATTGGCACCATGAACAACTGGGCCAATCATCCTTCAGCAAAGATAGTCGGTGTCACACCTGACACTGCAGGACTCTTCCGAGGGCCTATGGAAGGCTGGGCCACCCTCACATTACTCATAGCATCCTTCATTGCTGAATACTTTGTGTAAGTTTTCACCAGAGAGCTTCTGGGCTGGGAAGGTTTGAGGGTGGTCAGTGCAAGACAAAGGAATAGCTCCCACCACAGGGTGGTCCTTTATTAATAAAATATGATTAAAACAATAACTTGACTTCATGGAGGTAGGTGACGGGGCCACATGATCTATTCCAGACTTGAGTAGAACAGCTTCTACCTTGGAGCAATTCCTTGGGGAATAGAGAGATATGTGGGGAGCGCCCCTGGGTACTGCCCTAATGCACTTAATACACACACACACACACACACACACACACACACACACACACCCCACTACCTCCTACAGAAACTCAACCTAAACTCAAGGATAATCTCCTTACTTGACAGGCAACAATTCAAGTAATTTAAGGGGGATTTTTAAAAAAGGCCTTAAAGAAAAATGTTCTCATCAGGAAATGAACAGACTCTACACACTGAGAATGAGGCAAAAGATCTTGCCTGGACAGCTGCTGCTCCCCAAGGGGTGGACAGGCATGGGAGTGAAGGGGTTAACTGCATGTCTGCAGGCATGGCCTCTTTCTTTCTTTCCTCTGGCCCCTTAATAGTCTTCCCTCCACAGAGGATGACAGAGCACTCCCGCTACACACCCCCTCCCGCCCCGTGGCACTGGACACATTCACTTAAACTACATCGCTTCGTACTGTCCTGTGATATTGCTTCTCTAGTGGATCCTAAGAAACCGTCTCATGAAATCCTCCTCCCTTTATCCATCTCCCTTCGTAGAAGCGACGGACTCCTCTCTTTCCTCTGCTTTCTACCTCCTTTTCCTTCATGGCCTTCCCCATCTTCTCTGTTAACGTCTTTGTAGTTCCCACTGTGTGTCCCTTTAGTAATACGTGATGGGAGGTGGAGAGATGGATGTATGGGCTGCTATGGAAAGTCATTATGTATCCCTCCTCGTAACCGTCCAGGGCAGCCCTGTTCCTCACTGGAGTCCTTCGAACCTTTGCTGACACAGTTCTCTGTACTTCTCTTTGCCTGATCTTTCTCTCGGCCTGTGACATGTCTTAGGGCGCTTTCCTCTCTTATCTCCCCTGCAATGGTGGCCATGTAGTTTCGTCCCAGCATGTTCCGCCTTACACCCCTCCCTTAACACTATTTGAACATTTACTACAAGCAAGTCATCTAGTTAAGGGCTGTGGGGGATCCCGAGAGAAGATGGTCATACCCAAAGCGAGATTATGACACGTATACGGAACTTTCCATATAAGGTAGAAAGTAAACCATCCTCTGAGAGCAGTAGCGCGAAGGTATGATACTTCAAAGGTGACATCCTGTGATCAAATTCCCAGGTTTAATCACTCTTATGCTCAGTTTATTCTGTGATTGAACTAGATTTCCTGTTGCTGAAACAGAAATCCACTTATCTCCATTACGGCCACAGGTATTGAATCATCCTTGAGCCTCATCTTTTCTAGGCTAGATGCCAACGTCTAGTTTCTATTCTTTTATGATCAGCCTGAAATATAACAACTCTTCAAATGAGAAACCCAAATCGGACATACTGAAGGCTTGACCAAGGCTGAACGTGCCTGGATGAAGCCCCAGTGCTGCCTGCCATGTTCCTGTTAACACATCCGAACATCATTTTCACATTGACGACGACAGCATCGCTTACTTTTGTGCTACATCCAGAGTTTCTTCCTTTTTTTTTCTTCTCCAGATTTGTTGCTTAGTCAGTCTATTGCCAACATTTACCCGTAAAGCTATTTTCGTTGTTATTATTTGCCCTTAATACAGAGAACTTCATAGTGTTTTCAGAGGCCCATTTTTCAACTCTTCTGGGATACTCTGTATTGCATTTGTCTTGTCTAAGGTCTTGATACCATAAATGGAAAATTGAGGGACACAAAACCTGAGTTCAAAAAGGGAGAAAGAAATCTTTCAAAGAGCCCCTCCCTGAATGTCAATACCTGGGCAGTCTAATTATCTATTTGTGGCAGCACAAAGTTCAAGGTCGTAGATTGCATCAGTACTGTGTTTGGATATTTCTGTCTCCGTCACTAGGCTGTGAGCGCCTTGCGGAGGGGGATTATGTCTCACTGCTCTTTGTGACCGTCTCTTACCCCTGTTAGCACAGTCCCTGGCACGGAGTAGGCTTTCTGTAATATGTGCTGCATAAATGAATTAATGGCTTCATGCAAACAATGGCTTTGCCCAACTTAACTGATTTTTTTTCTGGAACTGAAATGGGAGGATCAGTGATATGAAGGGTAGCCTGGCCTCATGGTTCACTGTGCCCAGACTTGGAATTCAGATACACCTGTATCTGAATGTGTGACTGAGTGGAGGGGTCGGCCTAGGGAGATGGCTTGTGTGGGGCTGGGAAGCTGTTTGCTATCCCGTGCCCCGGCTATCCCCTAGCCCAGCCCCATCACCGCAGGTCTGTGCCCTGAGGAAAGGTGGGCTGCAGGGAAGCGGAGGCCGTTTCTGCGAGGTGTTCGCTGGGTCTAGGCCAAGCCTTGGTGCCCAGGTGACCGAGAGTAACAGAGCAGAGGACAGGGTCATTATTCCTACTTCTGTACAGAGCACAGCATGGTTTTGGAATTTTGGAGGACTGACGGGAATGCGTGGCCACTTTGGAATCTTGAAAGGTTGTATCACAAGGGCATGAGACAGCATCTTTGACACGGAGGCCCGGGGTTAGATGGGCCCCACGGCAGTGGCCGTAGAGGGTCCTGTGCAAATGACAGAAAGGGGCCAGGGCCTCCCTGGGGTAGGAGCAAGCAGCAAGAAGCCATGGGAGCTTGCCCATGGTGGTAGAGTGTACCACTCATGAGCTTGTGTGAGATGGACTTTCAGAAGCTATCAGAGAGGATTTTTTTTTTCTTTTTTGAAATCAAAGTTGTGGTAGCAATCCTGAAGATGCTAGTAGCATTAAGAATTATATTATTTGTGTGAATTAGATTCTATCTACTTCCATAGGCAGATTCTGATTGAGGATACATGGGTGACAGTTATAAGGTTTCTGTACCTTTTCAAAATTACATTTTTAACCTGAAACCTTTTAGACAAACTAAAAAGAATAAGGAAACTATGACAAACACCTGTGTGCTCACCATCCAGCTAAAGAAATAAAACTTGCAAAGTAACCGGGCCCCATGCGTTCTTCTCGAATAACATTTTCTCCCTGTCCACCTGGAGGTAGCTAGTCTCCTGAATCCGTTTGTGTCCAGTCCAGTTTCTTGTGAGCTAGTCCTTTGAACACGTCTTCCCTTCCTCTCCCCGCTCCATGTCTGGTCCCACCCCAGTGGGTTCACCATCAATGCCACCATACTGTGTATTTGGTTCTAGGATGAAACAGGATGGGAGTGTGGGAGTGAGGCATCCTTTCACTCGCCTTGATGCTTCTGTGTGTTTCACGGTGAAATACCGGTTCCCTGATCATGAATATTACTGTTCAGCTAAAAGGAGGGCATTTTTTCCCACCCAAGGCCAAACCTTGAGTTCCAGCATTCCTTTGCTAATTCTTCCCCTTAAGCATTTCCTGACTTCTAGTTACATCCCCCACTGGCATTCTAACACACATCCTCCATCAGTACAATACACCCTAACATTTATCTAAAGGGAAATCTTATTCAGTTAAAAAATTAATGGCATCTGCCACCATTTGCCCGGCATTTCCTGAAGCTTTCTGCCTTTACCCAACAAAGCTATTCCTTTTCCTTTTGCCTAGAACCCTTTGCATCTCTGAATTCCACTGATTCTTTAAGAACCAGTGTCTGGCCCCACCTCTGTGAAGTCTTCCTAGGTTTGATGGTATTTCTCTGTAATTTATCATCTTAGGAGGACAGATGAGAAAGTTTGATTCCACTCTTGTTTGCATGCGTTTGAGAAACAGTTCTGTTGTCATGGATGAGTCAGCAACCCCCGGCTAACTTTCTGTAAGGCTCCCCATTTCTGTTTAAAATCCTTTGCAACAATTGTTTAGGTAAACTGTCTAAGCTCTTTTTAAAATCTAGGGTTTTTAACCAGCTAGACTATTTTCTTTTCCTGGAGTGAAAAATTGCTATATTAAAAGGACCTTGTCTCTAACTCCCATCTGCCCTCCAGTTTGAAATACATCTTTAAAACATATTATCCTGGTTCTGGTCTCAATGAAAATATTAATATATACCTTATACAATTTTAGGAAAAAAGTGTGTACATGAAGGATATGATTTCTAACCACAGGAAACTGAATCTACACCTTTACGATGTATTTTAGAATATAGATTATAGATTTAGATATAGATTATAGATTTAGATATAGATTATAGATTTAGATTTAGATTATAGACTTAGATATAGATTATAGATTTAGATATAGATTATAGATTTAGAATATAGAATATAGATACTACAATTAAACTGTGATGGAAATTAAGAAACTACCATAGGGACTCTAAGAATATAATTCTAGTGCAGGGGAAAAGGTAAAATCTTCAGAGGGGAAAAAAAGTAAAAGAAATGAACAAAAAAGTAAATAAGAGAAAGGAAATCTTCAGAGGAAGCACGTTAGTTTATTAGCCATGGAATTCTCGGTGTGTACCACTCTTGTTCAAGGTATCTAAATATTTCCACAACTATAAATTTATCTTCTGGTGTCCACTATATGCATCTGGATATTAAATTTACACATGATTTTATAGCTGGAATCAAATCCAGGTGTTTTTTCCAGTGACGCTATATAATGTTTTAAAAAATATTGATTTCTTCTTTTGGTAGGTCAGACCCAGATTAAAGCATATATTGGTTCCTATTGCTAAAGAAAGAGTCCATTACGTGTTTTGGCTACTTACATGTTTTAAATAAATTATATAATGACACTTTGTTAGGTACTGTCCTATTTTGTAATTAACAGATCACATGAGTCAATATATCTATCTACAGATAGAAAGAGACAGCTAGATTCACAATCTTATTTATTCATTGTTTGTATGTACATACCTTTTCTCACTAAAGTAAATTATAACATTTTTGTTGGCTGGGATATTTCCTAACACCTCTTTTGTACCCGATACAGTCTAGAATAGTGTTAGGCATAGAGCAGATGCTCAATGAATACCTGTCATTTGTTCTCTAGGTTGAAAACGGATAACAATGGCGCAGAGATGTTGAATCAAGGCAAGTTGGATGGTCCTCCCAGAGGCTCCCATGGAGTGACCTTTTTTTTTGAGTATTCATTACGGTATATGATCTAGAAACTCTGCTGCACCAGGAATTGGATCTTGGGCATTCTCAGAGTTGACAGGTCTCAGGGAGACTGGCTCACAGACTCACAAGAGACTGATGCGTATATCAGAATGCCAATTAATACCAGTTAATTGAGAGAGAACGGATGACCTCCCTCTTCAGTGCCTGGAGAGCTTTCATTTCCCACCCAGGCAACCGCCATTCCCCCAGCCGGAATGTCAGGAAAACTCGCAGTCACGAGACACTGCTTCATGAGTGTGGAGTCAGAGCAAGGGGGAGTGATGTCATGAGGAGTAAGTATCTCACCTAAGCCAAGGGGAGAGGTGAGGAAATATCTCCCTCAGTGGAGAGAATACTTATCAGGTCACAAGACTGAACAAACGCTAAGATGCAAGGTCTATCTCATTTGGACATGCCTGCATGTCCACTGCCAGCCCTAGTCTTGCCATTCATGCAGACCTCGTCTACCGGCCCATTCTTCCTTCAGGCTTACTAATACCATAGATGATCTGGACTGAATGTTTGTGTCCCCCCCAAATTTCACAGGTTGAAATCCTATCCCCTCAATGTGATGGTTTTAGAGTGGGGCCTTTGGGGGGTGATTGGGTCATGAAGGTGGAGCCCCCATGAATGGGGTTAGTGTCCTTATAAGAAGAAATACGAGAGAGCTTTCTTCTCTTTCTCTCCCTCTCTCTTCACCATGTGAGGATACAACAAGAAGGCAGCCAACGGCAAACCAGGAAGTGGGCCCTCTAGAGACATTGGATGTGTCAGCACCTTGATCTTGGATTTCCCAGTCTTCAGAACTATAAGAAATAAATGTTTCTTGTTTAAGCCACCTGACTAAGACAATAGATTGCAGTTAGACTCTACTTGCTTATATCTGGAAGCCCTAATACAATTTGACACTTATGTGTTGAATTTGTTCAAAATGTCCTTTGGTAGAATTCTTGGGTGCTTTTATGGTGGCAGCTTGAGATGAGGCTGGAAATAGACTAGGACAAAGCCTTTTCAGCTTTACGGTGCTGTTTTACATTGAAGTTATTGAGCAATGAAATCAAGCAATTATTAGGATCAAGGCAGGAAAAGCAAATGGAGCTCTTTTTTTGCTAATTAATTTATAGAATAGAACCAGGCAGGTTTTTTAGTGGAAAGATTTAATTTAAAAAATCAGTTTTGTTTTTCTTATTTAAAAGCCAAAAGCCATCTGGAAAGCTTTTTCCTTTTAAGACCTCATGAAGACAACAAAGAAAATAAAATAGATGATACTTATACAAACAGTAGCAGACGGTCACTTCTATTTTGAAAGCCAAAGGTGTGCAATACGCATTCAGCTTTCTAGAATATGCTGCAAGGGAGAGGGGGTTGATGTAATCTGAGATTCTCCTAGGTATTTTAGAATTCAGAGTCTTTCTAGGATAACATCAAATTATCTTTCCTTCTGACTCTTTCCCAGTGGGTGTAAGGATTAAAAATTAAGTTAAAAATCAAAAGCTACAATTCTGAAGCTATTTTATAGTGCTTCTAAGTCTATGTATTTTGGGTGTTCCAGTTCACTAACTTTACTTTAATTACAAACTTTTATGGTAACAAATTAACCAAAGGGTATACTTTTATAATTAAGAAACGCAATGCCTAATGTAGAACGTGTATATCATAGTCAGTGGTAACGGGATTAATCTGCTTCTTAATTTAGAGTTTTGACTAACAATTGTTTATAAATACTCCCCCTCTTTCTTCTAAACAGCACTTTTTGAGGTGCGTGAACTCTTTATAAAAACAAAAAATGCAGGGCCGGCCGAGTGGCTCAGCTGGTTAAGAGCTCGCTCAAGAGTTTGAGCTCTGAGCAACAGCGGTTCGATGCCCGGCCCAAGCTGAGCAGCCGCTGAGCTGCCAACAGGTAGCAGGATGGCTCAGCTAAAAAAAAAAAAAATGCTCTACTTCACTGTAAAGCAATCAAACCTCCCATATCTTTGTGAAAAAATCTTAGGTTCTAATATATTTCTTTATTGTTTTTTTTTATTTTTCTTGGTTCATCACTACACTCCAATACTAGAAAGCAATCCACTATATGGAGCTTAAATTTGAGACCCAGCTTGTATGTTAAATACTCTATTTCAGAAAGAGTGTTGATCAGTACTGGCCTGAGGTTGATTCTACCGCTCATCTACTTCTGCCCATCCTCCTAGGATTAACTGAAGTTTACTCCTCCAGACGGCAAACTTGGTCTTTCATTAGAGAAATTTTCGATGATACAGTTTTTTCACTGTTGGACTCCTGAGAGGTTGGTACAACCCTGTAATTTGATGATTATCTGGTCTTACAATGCAGGTGCTAACTGCAAACAACCCTAAGGGCTTGAGTATTGGAGCAAATAGGCCAATTGAAGGGAATTGACTTACTTATTCATACCATTTGCTTTCATGATGTAATTAAATAAGCATAATGGTCAAAATGATATGATATGGAAGTATAATTATCCTTAATAATCAGAGAAATACATGAGATGAGTTTCTTCATATCTCTAGAGAAAAAGATATGGAGTCAGAATTCCCATATCTCTACAGGGGAGTGATGGAATCCCAAGGAAGCTGTGAATGGCGTCAGCACAGGGGGAATACCACAACAGTCACTAACATTTCTGCCTCCCCATAAATAGCTTAGCAAAGACAGCAGCCATGTCCCACCTTGGTACACAGATAGGAATTGAAGTATCTATTTGTTCCTTCATTCATTCAACGTATTTCTTTCGGGAAGTAAAACTGAATAAGATGTTGTTTATGATTTAGAGTTGCTATCAGTTTGGTGGGGAAAACAGACATGTGAACAAATAAACATATACAATAGGCGATAATAATTAACATACATAAAAAATGCTAAGGGAGACCGAAGGAGGGACATCTGTCACTTTGACGGGGGACCTCTGGGAAGGTGCTTTCTAGAGGGTGACTGCTGAACTGGGTCTTCAAGATGAGTAAGAGGTCACCAGTTATAAGAGATTCAGCGGGGTCTAGGCAATGCTGTGAAAGCACATGGACTCACTCGACCCTAACCCTAACCCTAACCAAATTAAATGCAAAACCAGACAAGTAAATGACCAACAACAGCAAGGCTTAATTCTAATCGGGATAAAGCCATCATTTTAAATCTTTTGAATTTTCTCCTCAATTCACAACTACAGGAAACGAAGAGATAAAATGATTTTGCCTCTAATCTGTAGTTGAGGTCCTAAGGTCCCTCTAGGGTGACAGGCTCTGGGGAGAGTGACAGGGAACATTTTATAGCATTTTTTGTGTCTGATTTTTAAAAGCCTAGAATGCCTGAGGGCCAGTCAGGTGGCATAAGACAGAGCAAGATGTGTGAAAATTCCTTTGAAACACAGTATAGGATCAGAATGAAACTTGCAACTCCATGCAGAGTTAGACAGAAGTGAATCTGATTTAAATGAATTGTACAGGCACCTCTCCATGATAAACATATGTCATGTGCACCACCCTTGACACTTTTGATGGCATTCATCCATATCTCATTTAGTTTTCTCAGCCACCCTGAGACGTGTCAGTTCTGTTTTACAGGCGAGGGAGCCCAGAGCTGTTAACCCTTCATCCACTGTCCTCTTTCTTGCATCCTCAACCTAAAAGGTACTTTCTTTTGCAGAGTTAGAGGCAGCTGTATGGGTTGGGCACAGCATAATGCAGAGGGCAAAGCACCAGGAATTGGAGAAAATGACAAGGTTTCCAGATTTAACCCTGCCACTGACTGTGTGTGCGTGGACGTGTTACCTTGCAAGTTTCGGTCCAATGATTTGGCTTAATTTCTGACCATATAACCCAACAGGATACCAGAATCTGTCTCCTAGAAGTAATTCTGCACTTGAAGCAGAGTTCTCATGAGAGACCAACTCCTTCCTGAAGGGTATGCCTCCCCATTCAGCTCTGCCATAGCTCTGACAAACGCTGCAATGAGATAGAATTTATGCTCATGTGCCGATGATATGAGGCACATAGGCATGAAAGGAGTAGGAATTTCCATCCTGCCTCGGTCTCGAGTTTTACAAATACTTCATCCCCTTCAGTTCATAAACCACGGAGCTTCTGTAGCAATGATATTCCCTACGTAGCCAGGATATACGCTGAAGCTGGCTCAGAAAAACATACATTTGGAATGCTTGGCTCTCATGGTCAGGTAAGCAGAGCTAAAGGCACTCAAAAGGGGAGTAATGGGGAAAAAGGGCATCCCAGACAGCAACACTCTGTATATCATCACTTTTGCCCAAGGCCCCTGAACAGTAGCTTCTCATTGTATTCATCAATAAAGGAGAAAGCGAGAAGAAATATTAGGTCCTCCTAAGTGGGCCCCCACTTAAAAAAAAAAAAGATCAAGAATTATACAACAGTATTGATTAGAGAAACAGAAGGACTGCTCAAGGAAGAAGTGGGCAGACGTATGCGTCTCTGTGGTTGCAGCAGTGCCTGGGGAAAGATACAGTGTAATTATACCTGCTGAGGATGCTTGTTTTCAAAGCAGCGTGATAACCCATCCTGCTCATCTGTTGGGTCACTTCCTATTCAGTTATTTCCCACATTAGTCTCTTAAGTGGCCCAGAAAGAGCTGCCAACAGTGCAAGGTTTTCTGTGGGAATCAAAAAATGGATCGGCTGCTGTTTTTCTAAGTAAGCAGAGTGGAGCTACCAGCTCCAGAAAGAAAGGACTCTTTCACTACCTAGTGGCTGGTGCCAGCTCTGGGAGCGATCAGGCTTTCATTTGGAGAGCCGCTAAGTATGCAAAATTCCCATCGGACAGTAAGACCCAGGTTCGCCTTAGGCAAATAAAAAAAGCACACATTGAGCTATCTTCTGGAACCGATCAGTTGGTTTCCTAAATGGGACAGGAAAATGGAAGCCAGTGAAGATGTGACACAGGATAGTCCGTGTCACCCACAGTGGAAAATATGAACATCGAAAGAATTTCCTATTCTAAACAATGTGCAGTTTAAAATACACTCTCCGGAGACTCTTCTGAATGTACAGGCTTATGGCAGCTATTTATAGCGGCCAATGTGTACTTTACCAAAATTTTTATTCCAACAAAGGATCTGTATGTGAGGTAGGGAGTCATTAAAATGGAAAATAAACTCTCACATTTTCACTGAGTCCACTGGCACTAATCTCAGAGCTCGCTAACGTAGACTAGCTAGCAGGAAGGAAGGTCAGTACAAATTATGAAATATTTGAAAAGAAATTCAGCTTTGAAAATATGTTCAGTCTACCTGGTGACTTCCGCCGAGCTAACAAAACATTAGAAACTTGTTTAAAAGTTGCATAAATAAAAATGATTTGTAATGAGCACGTTAGGCTTTTAAATGTAAGCGAGTATTTCCAAAATTCTCTTAAGAGTTTTAAAAAATTGGACTCTCAAGTGTTTAAAAACTAAGACATGGAATGTAGCTTACATATTTCACATATTAATCAGATCCTTTATTTATAAATAGTTCCAAGTTATGCTTTTCTACGGTCCCAGAATAAACGATAAGAATTCAAAAATGGAGGAATCTGAATTCATGAAGATTTCTGATAGACTAAAAACTGGTTTTCCAGCTACTGATACATGTTGCTTATTAGAAGGCAAACTAGTAAAAAGAACCAATTTGATTCACAAAGTATGCACATTATTCCTCTTTAACCTCACTCACAGATGAGCAGAAACCTACTTATCCAGCCACTAAATCATTCCAACATGGTCATATTTTACGCCCAGCGGTACTTTCTTATAACACTGTTAAGGACCTTTGGAGAAGTAAAGATCAAGAACTTGCCTAGAAGATTTCAAGGCGATTGAGATCGATTTCCCTTGACTAAGAATTCATAAGAGTCTGTAATCATTCCTGTCTGCCATTCCCGTCTGGTGAAATGGTGGCTACAAATGCAGATCTCTTCTAGCTGGTTGGTCAGTGAGAAAAGTGATGGACAGGATAGATATAATCAACGCACACATTTGACAGCCTTCATTCCATTTTTGTTTGATTGTGATGAGAAGCCCTTCCTCGTAGAGACTTCTTTGTTTGCAATACTTCTCCAAGCTTCCCTGCTTTAGGCATCAGAAGGACTCCTTTGGTCCTATGTATTTACAAAGATAAGCTTCTTGTCCTCTCAGGAAACAGAGCACTCTCATTAACACCTTCACCTGAGTCTGGAGAGAAGCTTGAGAAAGCCCTCGATCTCAGGGTCCCAGAAAAACTATCACCTAAAATTGATATTCTCTGATTTAGAATTTCATTTTAAAATAAATGAATTATTCAGGATACTAGTGACCTCTGTGGATGGAGAGGCAAATGGATAGATAGGACTGGAGAGGGGTCTGCAGGGAGCTTCAGTAGCTTTGGAAAGGTTCTACTTCTTAAGCTGAGTGGTATGTTTACAGGGCCTGCATTATAACGACTTATAACTTCTGTATACATTACATAATATTATTTTGTATGTATCAGCTTTTCCATTATCAGAATGAAAAAAATCACTAATTTAGACTAAAATGACTAAAGATCATTTTGTAAAAATTAGGCACATAACTTTACATTATTAGTATAGTATTTATATATACAGAAGGTGCCAACAAAATGTGTACACATTTTAAGAAAGGGAAAACCTGTATTAAAATTACACTGATGGTAACCACTTTGAGCACCTCTTATAATTGCAAAAGTAAATGTGACTTATATTCATCTTTCGTTATTGGTAAATATTGAGTATTACAATTTTCCTTTCTTAAAAAGTGTATACATTTTTGGGGCACCCTCTGTATTGTTGAGAGGCTTTTGGTTACTGCTTTAGTGGTGCTGACACCCTAATTTTGTAATATGAAAAAAGAAACCATAATTTCACAAAGTAAAAAAGAAAATCTACTTGAAATATATGATTAATTAAATATATAAATTATTGAGATAAAGACCTTGAAATGTTAGATACCAGGCTATCCTGTATTTTTATCTTGATTTCAAATCAGTAGGGAAAATGAGACAAGACTCTTAAAAATAAGGAGATAATGTTTTCAGTATGGAGACTTCATTCATATCCATAATTCTCCCATCACTTTCAAGGTAGCTGCTCAAACAGATTTGAAACAAAATAGAGATTAGACACCCAACTGTCTGAAGACATGGAGACTGTGCACATGTTTAGTGGTTTAGAAATCCCAGAAGGTAACTTTCATGAAGCTGAGTTTCTTAGGAGATGACCCCGTAGAGGGCCTTTCTGATAGCTCCTTCCTTACCTATCCTCTAGCCAGGCAAAAAAGAGCAACAACAGGTAACATTTACTGACCTATCAATCATCTACCTATCTGTCTGTCTATCTGCCTATCTATCATCTATCTATCTATCATCTATCTATCTATCTATCTATCTATCTATCTATCTATCTATCTATCTATCTCTCTCTCTATCTCTCTCTCTATCTCTCTATTTCTAGTGCTTTATAATCTATATGAAACCTTATGAGGAAGAACTGCTGTAACGGCCCTTTTCCTGATGAGGAAATAGACTTATAGAGGCTAGGTAGAATTATCCTTGATAACCTCACCAGGACTCAAACCCAAGTCTGCGTGATCCTGCTTTCTGGAAGGCATGTGTGTGCACCCCACTCCAATCTACCCCATCCTCCCAAAAGACTACAGCGATAAAGGTGAAACACGCAATCCTCTCTAAGGAGTCAAATCAGTTCTTATCCCTAACATATTGAGAGAGACACATCCTTTGATGAGTTTGAATTGCTAAGTTGAAACTGGTAAGGACAGAGAAATTCTACATAATGACTTAGTATAATAATTAAGCTTTGATCAAAGAAATCTTGCCAAGGCCAAATAAAAGACTTCCAAAATTGATGGCAAATAGGGGTCTATTTGCAAAATCACCACTGTTATTTTTCCTTCTTGACTCATGGCAAAGTTTGATTCCCAGTTCCTACCAGTTAACTGTTTTCACCCTGCCTATCCACATATCTTTCTTTGCTTTTCGTTTTACTCACTGAGAAGTAATCTGACCTAATCTCCTTTTATTTAGAAATATTGTCCATAAACAGTTTTTAAAAAAAATTCCACATGCAGTACACTGTAGTACACACTCTTTTCCCTAAAGCATGCTCTGTTTTCCTAATCATAGCCATGGCGTTTTTTTACAGACAGCTCCATTCATTCAGGGAGCTGCCGGGTGCAGGCAGACTCTGCCTCAGCTTAGCTCAGTAATCTTGAGGAGTTCAGCATCCTTAGACTTAAGTTTCTTCATATGTAAAATGAGGCTTTTAAAATGTATTAGGTCAGGGATTCTTGGCCCATAGTTCATGGGCCCCCAGGAGGTCTGTGGATGGAGGTCCATGACGCCACTGAAAATAAGTGCCAAGTTTTGTGGGTGCATGTGTGCATTTTTCTTGGAGGAGTCTTCAGCTTTCATCAGAGACTCAAAGTAGTGTGTGGTCCAAAATGAAAAAGTAGCATTCCACTGCAGAAAATTATCTATAAGGCCATTAACAGCCTTAAGCTTTTGTGAGTGACGATGTGAGTAGCCCGTGTCCTAATGGTGAATACAGTCTTACTGAGAAGACTTCAGAGAAAAGCCAAGAACATGTATGCCAACAGCCTTCTTTGGCTTGAGGGGAAAAACTTGATCGTCTCTGTTTCTATTTTTCTGTGAAATGGGAATAACATGAGAGATTTGTTCGAGGGCAAACAAAACAATGACTGTAGCTACACATGTAAGCAATTTACCTGAATGAGCATAAAGAACAGTTCAATTAGGCCCAATAGCCTCATTTAGTCTGTTGTCATATAACTGCCTAAAATGATTTTTTCCCCCTTGTTAGGGAGTGATTTTGGCATCGTAGAGATGATGAACCTTCAGCCAAGACAGCCGATGAAAAATTCCATGGATCAATTTGTTTTAGTGGAAAGGTTTTGAGGTTTGGGACGGGCAAACGAGATTGCACTCCCTAACTATATGAAGTTGGACATGTTCCTTAACCTTTCAGGCCTGCAGATTCGTCAACTGTAAAATAGAGATAATAATATTCATGTCTGCTGTGCACTGAATGTGTGCATCCCCCCAAAATGCATACGTTAAAACCTGATCCCGAACGTGATGGTATTAGGAGGCGGGGCCTTTGGGAGGTGATCAGATCATGAGGGTGAAGCCCTCATGAATGAGATAAGTGCCTTTTATAAAAGAGACCCAAGGGAGCACCCTTGCATCTCAGCCATTTGAGGACAATGAGAAGACGGCTGTCTACGAACCAGGAAGTGGACCCTCAACAGATACTGAGTCTGTTGGCACCTTGTTCTTGAACTTCCCAGCTTTCAGAACTGTGAAAAATACATTTCTGTTGTTCATAAGCCACTCAGTCTATGGAATTCTGTTATAGCAGCCTGAATAGACCAAGGTAAGGTCACAGGGTTGTTTGAACAATTAAATGATATAAGGTGATAATTAAATGCATCACCTCGCTTGGCACTTGGCTGATGCTAAACAAATATGGTTCCTTTTAATTTTAACACTAGATGAAAATTTTGGCTGATACTTTTTTCCACTTAAGAACCACTTTTTTTGCTGCATTGTGCTCTTCAGGTAAAATTCTGAGTTATGTTTATATACTACATTTAAAATAAAAGACATATCATTGATGAATTAGAAAATAAACCACATGGCTAAATAATATGTGATTTTTGAAATCCTCATATAGCAATTATATTTGTGTGGTAGACCTAGATGTGATCAAAAGATTGAATTCTTTCCCAACCTCAATAGAATCATCTTAGCATGTGTCAAGATTGGTATAAGAAAGAAATTTTGCAGTAAGGATGCAGCACATTATAATGACTGAACTGAGAGAAGAATAAAAATTCCATCTCAGTAAAATATTATTTTGTACCAAAGGCCTGACAAAACATGAATATGATTTTAATCAAAACATATAATGTTTGCTGAGCATATCTATGTGCATCATCATGCTAATTTCTCTCCATGGGTTAACTATCTTAATCTTTACAATGACCTTGTGAAGTAGAATAATTATCCCCATTTTTATACATAAAGATATAGAAGCAAGAAATGTTTAAGTAACTTGTCACAAGGTCACCCAGCTAAGTAGTTGTCAAAATCAGGATTCGAAGCCAGGTCTGTCAGATTTTGTCACCATACACAACACATCATTCTTCCTTTCCTTAGGTGACTGGAGATTGATAAATTATAAGTGTCGCATATACAGGCTGTAAAGAAAAATTCACTGCTATTTTAAACTGTAAGTGTATTGACTCATATATGCCAATTTTTTTTTCCAGCTAAGAATGAAGTTATGGGTCAACATGTGAAGTCCTTAAGAATCTAGATTGTCAATTTTTATTGAACAAGTGTCACTCTGGGGGAGGTCCTGGACTCTTGATGCTCCGCTGGTCACCACAGGACCAGAGGAATTGTTAGGTTAGTGGAAATGGGTCTGATGGGAAGTTTTGAGCAAATTTAGCTACTCTAATAATTTAGACAGTTTCAAAGAAATACTTAACTTCCTAATAGAAAATAATTTTCTGATTACAGAAAAGCAAAAAAAAAATTACATTTGAAAAGATTCTGATTTAAAGCTTCAAGATCACAGTGCTAAGCATTGTAAATAAAAGTGTTTGTGTATGCGCACACACGTGTTATATAATCCCTCGCCACGCTATTAAATCACGTAAAAAAGTTTCAGTGATAAGAGTTCTGGGAGATGACAACTTAGACCCAATGGATTTTTAAAAATTGTTTGTTTGTTTAGTGTAGTAAAAATATTTACTTTCAAGTGTCTAATCATCAGTATTTCAGAGGCCCATAAAAATGTATGAACGATGACAACAGCAAGCGTGTTTTCATTCCTTTTATTTATGTCTATGGGCCTCTGAATCTGATAACACAACTTTACAATGGGGGCCTTTCTTCTGCTCAGAAAGAGGAACTCATATTGGGTGTGGAAGGCATGAGCTGGGAATGGAATGAGTTCCTGTCTTGAAAAGTGAGAGAGCTGCTTGTTGTGAAAGCCATCCCAACACCGGGAAAAGTAGTATGTCTGACTAAAGATCTCTTCATGGATAAAACATCCCTGCGGGTTGCTCAGCGGATACACCAAAGCTCAAAATCCTTTTGGCCAAATGTAAAAGAAGAGCTTGACTTGAACTGGTGTCACCTCTTCTAGCTGAGACAACGCAATCCTTCCTCAGACCCTGTGGCTGAACCCACCCACCCCAAACTCTTCACTCAATAGCAAATCCCTGCTTTTACAGCTTCCTGTGGTTCTTGTATCCTCTGAGAAGTATAGAAAGAAAACCTTCAGACTTTTATTTTGTTTTGTTTTAGGGTAAACAGAAAATGGGCCTGCAATTCTTTTTGTGTTATGTAGAGAATCAAATTAGGTAATAGTAATAATCAATAATGACGTATATTGAATCCCACTCAACAAAGAATAGTAATAATTAGATACGTAATCATTATCCAATAAACATTAGATGATTAGTACTTTCATATATTATCTCTTTATATCCCCACAAAACTCTTATGAGGTAGATTAGATGGATGCTATTATTTACCCCATTTTACAGACGAGGAAGCAAAAGGTTAGAAAGATTGATTGACCTGTAAGGTCATGTAGTTAATAAGTGCCTCATGCCACCTACAGCCCATGCCCTTAACTGCTAAGCTTTGCCACCTCCCACCATCATGCCTCTTGGTGCTCCTTCAATTGTAGAGAACATACATGTTCTATTCAGAGACACCTACTTGGTGCTGTGATCAATCCATCTTTGCCAGATACACGTAAAAGGCATAGCATTGTTTTGTACTCTTTGAATGGGAAGAGAGCTGGATTTGACCCCTTTAGAAATGTACCCCTTCCCCTACCAGATGTATGTTATTCCCCGAGGATACAAAAGCACGCGTAGAGTGGATGGATTAGGTGTATGGATAGGAGGAGATATGAAAACAAGTGCATCACGTGTTGAGGAAGGTGATGGGAAAATACATGAAGATGCACTGAGAAATACAGAGACAAAGGCAGAGAGGGATTGAAATAAAACACAGAAGCAGAAAGAAAAGCAGAATATACCTATTATATTTTTCTTCCCATGAGACAGGTGAAGAATAATAAACAGTAAAACAAATTCTTCACTTTTTTGAAATAGGTAATTGATTCAACAATACAGTCTAATTTGAGATGTGTACAAATAGTATTATTTTGCCTAGAAACAATGCATTTAGGATTTTTACTGATTATCTGCTCAAGGCACTCTGCCTACTGAAAATTTTTTCTATCTTTTTTGGTCAAGATTGCTCTAAGTTACTAATCCACGTAGGATAGGACCTTGGTGACTATTGGGACACTGCCTGGACTGGTGACCACTCAACCCTATGGTTCAGGAGAGTACCTGCATTTTATAGATATTCAATACGTTTTTTTGATGACCTAATGAACTATGTCTTACCAATCTAAAGACCTTATCTCAAGGACTCAGTGGGAAAGCTAAATTCAGAGTTAACAGTAAAAAGATGCACAGGCTAAGGGGTAGGACAAAGACCAGAGGATGTTTCGATTAACTAGGTTCACAGTTTAGGTTATGCAAAGCTAGATGATTTGAAATGGACTGGACTACAGCCCTCAGAATGAGGTGTGGACATAGCAGTCTCATTTACTCACCAGCCACGATGTGGTGAGTAAATGCCAGTCCCAAGCATATGAAAGCCAGTGTGGCACAAAGTGTATGGTTCACTCTCTTTAAATAACCTTTTAAAAGATTTATATCTGAGGACTAAAATGTCTAAGAATCTAGCTTATTTTAATTTGTGGTTATAACATCGGGAGAGTAGACAAGTATTAACTTATTTATCATTGCAAAGTAGAAGTGCACCTACTAGTCTAACTCAATAAAAACTAATTAAAATGAGAGAGTATTTTTATTTGGAAAACCTTTGTGAGTAAGAAATGGAAAATCAACAGACTTTTTCTTCCCCCATGTAGTCTACAGAGGTCCAGCATACAAAGGGCATATGCCTTCTTTGATAAGTATCAATGAATATCAGGGTACATACTATGTTTGAAGATGTAAAAGTGTCATTTCTTGATCATCACTTGGTTTTATACAGGTTGAAAAGCATTAAGCACACTCTTCCCAATTCTGTCATTCCATTGGTCTGTTGTCAGGGATCAGCATAGAGCTTGGAGCACAGTAGATGCCCAATAAAAATTTGATGAGTGAGTGAGTAAGTCAGTCAGTCAGTGAACCTGCAGCTCTGAGCTTTGGGGCCACTCTATTTTTGCTAATTTACTTCACCACCAGATCGTTCTTGATTTCTCTAAATCCAAAGGAAAGCTAGGTCTTCTCAAGTACAACGTGTAGAGTCATAGAATCACATTAAATAAAGTAATATATGATGATTGTAAAAAAAAAATTAGACAATACCAAAAGCAAAAGGAAAATAAAAATTATCAGCAATCCCCCAAAGAAAACACTGACTCTTGCTACTGATGAGGAAGCCAAGGTCTGAAGCTAAAGGAAAAGGGACTTGCCCAAGGTCTTAAATGCCCTTTATCTTTAGATTCAAACCACAATTTTAGGCGGTCCTTGATTTCTGGTTCTGGCCATCTGTTTCCTGTACACACCCTGAACTTTCCCATCAAAGTTGGCTGGACCATAAGGCCTGACCTTCACTATTCTCATAAATGATCGGATTTTACAAAATCCTAAAGGGTAAACATGGACTTACTTATCAGACTCCAGAAAAACAGAACTAGGAGGGTCACCTTGAAACATGAAAAGGTAAACTTAGTATAAAAATAAGGAAGTCCTTAAGGACTTCTCTCAAAGAAGAAAGAAAGGAAAGAAATTAGATGGAATATAATACCTCAAAAGAATTAATACAGACAGAAATGTAAGTTAAGCAAGGTTAGGATATATTTATATAAATTTATTTTAGGTTGTTAAGGGTAACTAACTAAGCTTCATTGAGTATGTTCCTTTTAAGGTTGACCTAATCTCAAGGACTCAGGAAGACAGGAAGACATATCCTTTCACATAAAGGAACAAACAAACAAAAAACTTGGAAGGAACGAACCATGCAGCTGTGTTGAAAATGCTTAGGCAAAATCCCGGTTCTAAAGAAACCTGGTCTATTCATTCTCATTACAGTATGGCGCTATCCACAGCAAGTTAGTTCTACCATTCATCTCATTTCATATTGACTCCCTTTTCTCCTTATCACATAGAAAGCAAAGAAGCTGAGGATGCTGATCTAGCCTGATGCCCAATTTCCTGTCCTCACTTCGAGTCCCTTTAGCCCCAGTTCTCTGGCTTGTTTTCTAACCCTGCTGTCGTTTGGTTTCCTAGCTTACCATGAGGGGCATAAAGGCAGAAACCATGTCTGTTTATGCCTCACCACTATTATCTTTGTCCCTAACACAGACATTGAAACTGGGTTGATGCTTAATAAATACTTGTTGGGTAAAGATATTTTTGTGGACTTTAGGAGAACCTGAGGCCACATGACACATCACTGGAAAGAATGAGAGGTATG